ACTTAATGATGTCAGAGCTAAGACAGACTCCAGAGTCTGGTCTGTCTCCTCTGTCACCTCCCCATTCATAACCTCAGACAAATCTCACCTATTATATGGCAATAAGCTCCAAATTTCTGTGAGAATTATATGAATTCAGATATGAAAGGATTAAGACAGAGCTTGGAAGCTGGTATACATCTTATAGCATGAGCTGTTATCATTGGCATTACAGTGATTAGGAGTTATTTCCCATTCTATCACATCTTAATTGAGTACATTAAGAAAACACATATTCCAAAAAAGCAAAAGTACTTTGGATTTGGCTTGTTATAATCTCTTATAATCTGCTTTCATAGAGATATCTACATTACACCAAGTAAAATGGAGGAGCATTATTAAATTTAATTATAATTTTCACTTTAAAGTTTAAAAAATGGCTATTTCTCAGTCAAGAGGATTTCTCCTTAATAAAAAGGTGAAACACTGGTTTGGTGTCTTTAAAGTGCCTAATTTATAGTAAGCCAGGCTGTTTATACAGAACCATTTTTGTAGGAACGTTTATTTTACCCAGAGTATCTTGGAGCATTCATCCAGCCAAGGTCAACCTGAACATTTGGAATCTTGAGTTTGGCTGATGAGGAAACATTTGCCATTGAGTTGGTGAAAGAAGGGGACCCATTCACTCGCATTAGATCACTTGATGTGTTCTCCAAGGCATCAAGAGATGACAACACAGAGTGCTACCCAGTTGCAGCAGCCAGAATCCCCAAGCCAGCCACTGGACCATGTCTGGGAAGATGGTGAAGAGCCCAGGCAGAGGATGTGCTGACAAGGAGTGTCCCACCGGTTCTGTCATTAAACGCACAGAGCACAAACTAGCTCAAACTGCCACCCAGTATGATACGGAGCATCCATGGACTTTAGCAGTGCATTCAATGCCACCTCTTGCCATCATTTTGAACTTAATGATGGACTTCACAGACCATGGGACCATGTGTGTTCTGGTTGCGATCACCTGCAGGAGAATCTTATGCTCTCCTAAAGGCAAAATGCTGGTAGGTTTCACCTTTTCCTTTTGTATTTACTTTTAAGATTGCACTTGCTCACATACCAGTGTTGGTGAAATCCCCTATTTGGGATGCTATTTTGGGATATTGGGATGTTATTTTGAAAAAGTGGCGATCTCAACTCTGGGTCTGTTATTCTACCCTGTTTTCTGAAAGGACTTATTGAAAATCCTACTGCGACTCAGGATTCTTCTGCTTACCTTTCAGTAGAGTAACTTTGTACAAGAACAGTGGATATCCATTTGCTTTCAACTTTCGAATACACAAACACTTCATTGTACAGAAAATGGCAAAAGGCTCTGAGCCATCTAAAGGCACATTGTTTTCGCTCCTTGAGTTTTCTGTTCTACTTTTAACTCTGTGGTGATTACATTTCCTATTCCAAACACCTCTCAACTTATTGTGAACATCCAAACAAGCTAGTTGTTATTTTTTTTAACATAATACAGCATAACCAAGTTAGTCTCCTGTCTTCGCTCAGGCTGCATAACAAATACTACAGACTGAGCGCTTTATACAACAGAAATTTATTTTCTCATAACTCTGGCAGCTGAAAAGTCCAAGATCAAATTGCTAATTGATTTGGTTCCTAGGAAGAACATTCTTCCTGGGCTGAAGAGAGCAACTAGTTTGCTGTCTTATACACTGATGTCTCTCATCCTCTTCTTTAAGGGTGCCTGCCAGTCCTTATTGGTTCAAGTCCCACCTTGATGACTTCACTTACTTTTGTCACCTTCTCATAGGCTGTACCTTCAATTGCAGTTGCATCAGAAGATAGATCTTCCACATATGAATCTGAAGTGATGCGTTCCGTTCACAGAAGCCTTCTAACTGTTCACATATAAAACTCAACTTCAAATCCATCATGATCCTGCTTACATAAAATTTTCTTCCATTCCTCATGTATAGAAAAGCACCAGGTTGTTTTGAACCCAGATTGGAAAATGCAAAGGCCAAATTATCAAGCTCATTGACACACAACGATAACTTTCTGTCTCATCGTGAAGACTAAACAGATCTATTTTTCTTTTGTTAAATACAACATTATGTAGTATGTGGCAAAAAGGATCTAAACTGCCCCACAGTTTGATCAATTTCATGAAAGAATTTCCTGAAGTGTTGGGAAAGTGGCTTAGTGGTAGAGTGCTTGCCTATCATGCATGAAGCCCTGGATTCGATTCCTCAGTACCACATAAACAGAAAAAGCTGGAAATGGTGCTGTAGCTCAAGTGCAGAGCACTAGCCTTGAGCACAGAGAAGGTCAAGGACAGTGTGCAGGCCCTAAGTTCAAGCTCCAGGACCGGCTAAAAAACAGAATTGTCTGAAGCCAAGGTTCCAGTGGCCCACATCTGGAATCCTAGCAACTCAGGAAGCTGAGATCTAAGGATCATGTTCAAAGCCAGCCAGGACAGGGAAGTCCATGAGACTCCTATCTCCAATGGACTACTAAAAAACGCCAGAAGTGGTGACGTGGCTCACATGCCAGAGCACCAGCCTTGAGCAAAAGCAGCTCAGGGACCTTGCCCAAGCCCCAGGCTCGGCACAAAAAAAAAAAATTGAATACTGAGCCAATTAATGTGCATGTTCATACCGTACTAGAACCGTATCAGTAGTGGCTATCACTCAGAAAATTAGGAAAGCTCCGAGTTGTACCGGGAAGGATAGGATTACAAACGGCAATGGGGCTTTTGATCACCAAAGCCTTCTGCTGGATAGATGTGAAGGCTGATGCCAGAGAGGGAAATGACTTGTTCAGACAATGCACTGTTACCAGAGTGGTACTAGAACACAGGCCAGGATACCACATGCCCAAAGGTCACAGGTGCTCCTAACATCCAAGTTGGAAGGAGCCTCGTCCCTTGGCAAACACAAGAAGTCCTATCAAGCAACAGCAGTCAAGACCGCAGCTTTGACGTCACTTAGGCCTTGACTCCCAACCACAGCAGCATCCAAAACAAGCATTGCTGCTTCTCCCCCCACCCCCTCCCCATGCCTTTTAGCTTCTCTTCTGCTTTTTCTCCCAAATGAGAATACTTCAAGCTGATGAGTTTCTCTCTTTCCCCTCAGCCTCTGGAGATGGCAATATGCTACAAATCCTTCTTCTTCCACTCATTCCTCTTCCTGGATCTGCTCTCCCAAACCTCATGACCCTAGCCATAAACCTCAACAAGAAACTTTTTTTCTTTTCTTCTTTTGGTGTCCATACTGGGGCTTGAGTTCAGAGCCTGGACATTGTCCCTTAGCTTTTACACTCAAGGCCGGCACTCTACCACTTCAGCCACTTTTCCATTTCCAGCTTCTTGCTGGTAATTAGAAATAAAAGTCTGTGGGATTTTTCTGCCTAGGCTGGCTTCGAACCTCAATCCTCAGAACTCAAATCTCCCAAGCAGCTAGGAATACAGTCATGAGGCACCAAGTTCCTGGCCTAAACAAACAACTCTTAGCACATTTCTGCACATCATCAAATTCTTTCACTAGCAGCTTCACGATAGCATTGAAAAAACAAAATTCCCAAATTCCAGATTGTAGTGAGATAGATTCTCTGGGATTTACTTGGTTTTGATTCTGTAAAACATTCTCACATGTACAAACACATGTCTTTAGAGGCAGATCTTTTAAGACCAGTCAAAAGTAGTCACTACTTTTATAAGGGAACATCTAATCTATCTGACATGCGTTTGATTTGCTCAGGATGTACCTGCAAAAACAAGGGGTGTTTCCTGCAGACTGAACTTGGTCAGATGGCATGGCCAGCAAGCTTATCGTATTTGCTTTATTTGGTTGGTCATAGGTCTTAAACTCAGGGCCTGTGCACTATCTCTGAGCTCATTTGCTCAATGCCAGTACTCTACCATCTTGAGCCACAGCTCCACTTCTGGTTTCCTGGTGGTTAATTGGAGATAAGAGTCTAATGGACTTTTCTGCCCTGGCTTTGAACAGTGATCCTAAGATCTCAGCCTCCTGAGTAGCTAGGATTATGAGTGTGAGCAACCAGTGTCTGGCTAGTTTTTCACCTTAAGTCTCTATAAAATAGGGCATACTTTCTCATTTCCTGCTCTAATCCATAGCATGAAAAAAACAATTCTGTATTATCTGTCAAACATAGTAGGACCCTTAATAGATACTCAAATTTCATCCAGCCTAACATAATTTTGAAACTACTTGTAAAATAGATGCCAATATAAATGGAAATTCCTATTAGGAAAGTTTAACTTGTTAGCTACTCTCACATCCCTGTAAACTTATGTCATCCCTGTAAACTTATGTCTTTCAGTAAAATTCAAAGAAAAAAATTGATCTCCTGATGGGGGCACATTATAAATCCCTTCAAGACACTGAAGCACTGCTGAACACTTAATCATTTTCAAAAATAAAAAAAAGTCTGATGAAGATTGATATTTATGCTGGCACTAGTGGCTCACACCTGTAATCCTAGCTACTCTGGAGGCTGAGACCTGAGGATCGAAGTTCAAAGCCAGGCCAGGTAAGAAAGACCATGAGACTCTTATCTCCAGTTAACCACCAGAAAGCCAGAAGCAGTGCTGTGGCTCAGTGTGATAGAGTGCTAGCCTTGAGTGAAAACAAGCTCAGGGTCAGCACCCAGGCCCTGAGTTCAAGCCCCATGACTGATCAAAAAAGAAAAAGGTTCCAAATTCTTTTTAAAAAATGGATATTTACAACAGCTACCCAACTGCACAGTCATGCATACATCTCTGAATAGTTTGTAAGTGGTTGATGCACATGGATTTCTCCCACACTTCTCAAAGATAAAAGCCCGTGTTGTCTTTTTTTCCTATCTCCGAATGGGATGCTGAACCACAAAAAGTGAACCACTTCAGTAACAGAAGGTGTCAAGTATTATAACCACACCATCTCACTCTGCCAAGCCTAATTGTGTATTCAAACTGCTTAGAAACTGCCCGAAGTGGAGCCAAATTATTTTATTCTTACCTGAGCTGGACACGCGCCTGATCCTCTGGGGAGATAAGGCTCGATCAGAACTGAGGTTTCTGCTGTCATTCTTCCGCCTCAAAGAGGAAACGGTAGGTCCCACTTTGTTTTTTGTGCCTGTTGTTTTCCTCAAACTGCATGAGTCAGTCTTGGACAGATTTCTACCTGATGTGGTGGTGGTGGTTTGGGAAGCAGAACCCTATGAAAAAGAATAGTCACAGTTTCAGTCCACATCACACCTTTTACACACCATTTCCTTGTGGTGTTAGCTAAGTAAGAGAAAATTTCTGTCTCAATGGCTATGCAAGGTTAGTGTTTTACATCACTTTTTTTTTAACTATGAAGCAACTAAAACCTCACTACTAGGTCTTCCACTCATCACCTGCTTTTGGACTCATCAGTGGAATTGTTCCCAAGGTCACAAGTGCCAACAAGCTGAACTCAATACACCAGTGTTCACTCCATAGTGGGAAAGGGGGCAGAGCGCTAGTACCTTTGGTTTTCCCTCACAGATCTCTCTCTGGATTTTCCTTTTACTGGGTTCTATTCTTGTGTTTTTTTTTTTTTTCCTGTGCCAGTAGTATGGGTTGAACTTGATCTTGTGCTCTTTCTTGGCTTTTTTATTCAAGGCTAGCATTCTACCATGGGAGCCACATTTACACTTCCATCCTTTTGTTAGTTAACTGGGGATAGGAGTCTCTCTGACTTGTCTGTCCAGACTGGCTTTCAGCCTAGATCCTCAGATCTCAGCCTCCTGAGTGGCTAGAATTACAAGCATGAGCCACCGGTCCCCGGCTTCTTCTATATCTTTACTTGTCTTCACTGGGGCCTAAACTTGGTCCTGTTCTCTTCATTGCCATAAGCTCTTCCTAATTGATCTCATCTCTACTTCATTCATCACTTACACAAATGGTGCCCATGTCTATGGCACCACTATCTCCTGAGATAGCCTTGTATTTAGCTTTTGTGTGCAGCTCCCCAGCAGGATAATTCAAGTGCTTCTACTTAAGGAGGACAATAATCCAGTTACTACTTTGTGCTTATTAACAGAACTCTTACACTGTCCAAGATCTAAACCATTTCAAATCTAAACATAGCAACTCATAACAATCCTATGAAACTGGCTTTTTATTATAGCCCAGTTTACACAAGAACAACATGAAAATTAAACTCAGGGGGCTGGGAAGGTGGCTCAGTGGTTGAGCGCTTGCCTTGCATGCCTGAGGCCCTGGGTTTGATTCCTCAGCACCACATAAGCAGAAAAAGCCGGAAGTGGTGCTGTGGCTCAAGTGGTAGAGCACTAGCCTTGAGTTAAAGAGCTGAGGGAGACAGCGCCCAGGCCCAGAGTTCAGGCCCCCTGACCGACAGAAAAACAAAAAGAAAAGAAAAAGAAAATTAAACTAAGTTTTACTCATCCCATATTCATAACATATCCATCTCAACATAAAAGGCACTAAGGGCTGCTTCCTTTCTTACTCGTAAGACCCCGCTTCCATCTGCCGTAGCTCAGCAGGATTAACTGAAATCCTCCCCTCAGGAGTTGTCTGTACTTACCAGCTTCCAGTTCATCTTCCACTGCCCTGCCAGAGTCCTCTAAACTTCACACCGAGTGGGATGGCTCTCCTCTTCTGTCCAGCTAGAGTCCAATCTTTTAAATGTACATCATCCCTTGGGAGATGGCCGCCTTTACTATTGTCCTCAACATGATTCCTTACAGTTCAGAACTCTGTATTCCTGCTCTTCTCATACTATCTGTAGTCCCCAAATCAGAGTGTCTTCTCGTATTTCTTCATCTTTATACACAGCAACCCTCCACCCACTTACATTGCCGTCCTGTAAGTGAATGCGGCATTTCCCTCACCCTTCCTCCCTAATTCTCCCCATTGCTACCATCCTCTTCCCTGTTCTTCAAACACAGCCACCAATCTATCCCCATTCCTACCTTGGTATTTAACACATACTCCTGGCTTGCCTTCTGATACTCCTCACTGCCCAGGCAGGACATTTGGGTAGGGCGTATGACTTTCTTCACATCCTAAATCCACTGCCATGTATAAGTGGCACTAGGAGGTTCCCAATAAATGACGCTACTTTACATAGAGGAAACAGGGGTTCTGAGCTGTGCTCACTCTGTGCTGTAATTCATATTCTCCCTTCACATGAGAAATAACCTGAGCCCCCCAGGACATCACTTTGCCAGTGAATGAGTGAACTATGATTTGAAATTACTCCCAGTCCATGATCATAACCTCAGTGTTGTGTATTCCCCACCAAGACCTTTTGGTTGACTCAATCACAAGAATTTGTTTCTAGTAAGGATACATACTGACCTATTTGTTGGTGGCTGTTGAATTCATACATTAGGTGAACTCATACTACAATGGGATTTCAGAAATCCTAAGAGAACGTCAAGTCATGTTTTGGCACTGGAGAACACAGAAGTGGCCCAAACTAGTGATGGACAGTACACAAGCTCACAAGTTACCTTCTATCTCTACCTTAAAGCTGATATATAAATCCCCTAGAGAAACTTTCTCTTAAGCAGTAATGCAAAGGGCTTGCATGTTAACACATGCCTGCAATCCCAGCTATGTGGGGGGCAGAGTAGGAGGGCTGTAGTTAGAGAGGCTAGCCTAGGCAAAACAGTTATAGAGACCTTATCTCAAAAAACAGCTAGGCCTAGTCGTTTGCACTTGTAATGTCAGCTAAGCAGAAGGCAGAGATAAAAAGACTGAGCTCTGAGGCTAGGGGAGAAAAAATGCGAGGCCTTATGTAAAGAATGAATATTTAAAAGTCTGGGGATGTGGCTCAAGTGAGAGACAAAGGCCTGAGTTCACATCCCAAGACTGTCAAACAATTAAATGAAAATAAAAATAAATTTTACACAGACTTTCACCAACTCATGAAAGTAAATTGTGCAGCAAATCAATGATTATGTCTTTTGGAGCCCAAATTCCAGAAGATTTTGAAATCCTGATGTGTGCAACAAAAAATTTGAGTAGGGAACTGCATATAAATGTCAGTCTTTCTACCTAACGGCCAGGTGAGTTTTAAATAATCTCACTGAAGCCTTAAAATGTGGGTCACAATTGTCCCACTGCGACTGGGAAGAATAAATGATGGCAGATGTAAACTAGGCACTGCTCAGAGGTTAAATAGCATCCTGCATGCAAGGCACCTGAGCAAACACTGAATAAAATCCATTCCTTCCCTTTCTACCTGCTTTATCCACACTTCCTTTATCTAACAAACCATCAGAACACGTGCCTCTGCCATGGGTATCTAACTACACTTAACCCTCTACATCAAATTCTTCTGTTTCAGATAAACCCTGACCACCAAATGGCCAGGTTGTTATAGACAGCCTTGAATAAATTAAGGTAGCCCAAGACGAGAACACAGGGAACATGACCATCTCTCCATCCCCATCAGAGACATAGGAAAGTAGAGTCTGCAGTTCTTTGAGGAAATCACGCAGTAAACATCACCCATTGAGCTCAATACACTATGGCTAGGAAAGCCTCACTTGACTCCTTTCCCACCTTCCCGCCAAGAGAAAGTTGAAATGTGTAAATCCCAGAGCACTAGGCTTATCACATGGTCACAGAAAAAGATGTGTTCTTTATACCAGATGATAAATAGTGCTAAGAGACAGTTCTTCAGGATTACATAGTCTCTCATTATGGATTCTAACTGGAAATTTCCTAAGGTGCAGTGTGCTGATTCTCCAAGATATGCTGAGATCCATCTCCACTGATGATTCTACTTCTATTACCTTCCTTCAGTACTGCATCATGTACCAGCCTAACAAGAGTTTCATTCTATGCATTGCAAATATAAGGCTAAGACTGAATGCACAAGAATCCTAGTTTCAAAATTTTACAATCAATTTATATTCAGAACCAATGTTCTTTAAACTTGGTTGAGTTTTGGGCTTTTTTTATTTTTTTATTTTTGGCAGTGAGGCCATTGGTGCTCATACATTTCCTATAAATCAAGGAATCACTTTCATTTCTATGTGTATCTATAAAACACTAAACTAGAACTATTAATTAGAAATAAGAGGCTATTGTAATTTGTACGTTATAACTGATAGAAAATGAGTTTCCTTGGTTTAACAACAAAAAACAACTTGAAAAATCTCAAAAGTCTTGAAGCAAACAGTTCCATTCGTTTAGAAATTTCCTGAGGTATGCCATTCTTCCCAATAGAGTTGGTGTTAAAACCAAAACACCGGTCCAGCTCAAAGGTATCTTAGGGTTCTCGTATCTCCTAGAGGAACTGGACTGAGTCCTCCTGTGTGCTCCCCATGCTCACTGGAAAACCTTGAGCACTGGGTGCTTCATTCTTCTTAGACAAGAGCCCAGGGACAAGCTGTCCGTGTCACATCTACCTTCCTCCCCTCTACCCAGCTCCATTCCTGGCCCAGAGAAAGGACAAGCACCCAAGGACAGCCTGTGTGAGTCTGAAAATACACATGTCCCCCATTGCCAAAAATAGGCTGAAGACATGTACACAACTCCAACAACAGCCAGAAAAAATGTCCTTAAAATTCACCAAACTAGTTTCTTCATGTTCTTGACAAATTTAAAGAAAAATAATCTTTAAACTGCTGATGAATTTGTTTACACTTTAAATGAGACTAACTTCCTTGCATATTGGACAGGTGCTCTGAGAATCATACTGCTTTTTCACTGTGTATGAAAAAAAGGACGTTCTTCTATATACAAAATACCAATATGTTAGGGCTATAGGAAATTTTAACATCTAATTAAGTCTGGAAAAAGTACTCTCCAAAAGTTCTGGTGAAAGGCAGAATCCAGACACTGCTCCTAGGACAAGAGTATTTCCAAGAGCTACTTCTTCAATAAGAAACCAGAATGTTGCTAGGTTTACCAGCACTCCCTAGCCACTTCTTCAAAATGGATCAATACATTTTAAAGTTTAAAACCTTTTTTTTTTTTTTCAGGGAAAAAAAAAAAAAAAAACCCCAGGAGCTGCTATTTAAGCTCAGCCAATTATACTAAAATATCGCCTTATAAAAGAAGGTGAACCCTCAACACCAAATGCTAGAATTGATTTTTTTTTCAATATGTAGGTTATATTATGACTTAGAATGTTAATTCCAATACATACTGACTAAACACAAGACACAGATTCCTAAATACAGTTTGCACACTCAGTTCAGTGATAACGGATATTTGTCAATATTGACAAATATGTTTTTCTGTCACTCCCAGAAGCATACACGAACACTCACCAAAAACAGAGACCCATATTCAATACTCGGGTTCATGGCTTCCTTCTGCGGCTCCTGTTTTTCCATAGGTGTGCCATTGTCTTTTTCACCCTTCTTTTCAGGGCTAATCCGATCAGCATTGGTAACATAGGTTGTTTCCAAACTTTCTGCACTTTTCATTTTAACAGGGAGAATGCCTTTGATCTTCTGAAAAAAGGCAGCCACAGAGCCGGGCTCACAGGCTGAATGACAAGAACCTGCTTTGTCAACATCTTCCTGATTCGTGGCAGATGTTGCTCTTGGAAGCCGGTGTGGGGCACTTTTAGCATGCGTTGTAACATGCACAGCCTGGCCGGTGATGAGTTTATTAAACTGTTGTTTATGTGTCTTGTTAATTAGGATTTCTGCTTTTTTGTCTGCTGTAAGGAGAGGCCTTGGTATTTTGCTCAAAACTGTCAACTGTTTGGAGGAGGGTAATGAGGCACTGGGTGACTGAGGTTTCGCCGTGACCTTCGATAGAGCAGGACTTTTGGACAGCAGTGCTGGTCTGGACATAACTTTGGCTTTGACATTTTTGAAGTTTGGTGTAGGGTAACTTATGATTTCAGTTTTTCGTACTTTGCTGCCATTAAGGGTGTTGGTCTTGGTTGCCAATTTACCGAGGTTTGGCTTCGCAGTGTTCACAGGTGTTCCCTTCAAGTGGGGCAGGTTTTTAGGCTCTTGGTTACTCTTCACTTCATTACAGTCCTCTGTCACCTCAACAGGAGAAAAAGTAAAGCTTGTGTTTGAGGGCTGAGAGACTGGTGTTGACACACACAGTTTGGTTTTTGTGCAAGCATCATTTCCATCCCAGGTCATTTCGAGTGAGGAAATCTCCTTTTGTCCTGGGGAGCTACCTAGTGCCAGTTCCACAGTACTCTTGGGAGTTCCCAAATTCTTTACATTGGGAGTCATCTGTGGATCTTCAGCCATGATGGCTTTATGCTCTGAGTCCAGCCCTTGGGCTTTACCTTTATCGAAAGTTGGCACTAGTAAAGGACACTCCTCGTCAATAAGACAATTGGACACTGTTTCTCTTAGATTCTGGCCCCTTTCCGTTTGACCATATGAGCCTTGTGAATGTGTCTCACTATTTGCTTCATCTTTAGATAAACAAAAGAACTCTTGTAATACAGACCCATTGGGGATGGCCATGCCATCAGAAACTGTTGTTAGGGCTTGTATCTCTTTTGCTGCAATGAGTCTTTGCTGTGAGCCATCTGTGTACTCACTGGAGACCTTTCCTGAAGAATACTGACCCTGATTTTCAACATCTGGAACATCCGTTTGCATCACAACATCAGAACATGCGGTGTACGATGCGTTTGGGGCCTCTGATGATGTGGCTTGCAGATTTTCAAAGCTCTCTCCATTATAGTTAATTTCTTGTGCATTTGTTGTCACAGAATGGGATGATGGCCATGTAGAGCAAGATAAAGATGTACTTCCACTTCTCACACTGGTTGGTTGTAGACTCCCAAGGGAAAGGAAAGGCTGGCCCTTTTCAATGACATGATGACTTGTACAGGGGCAATGTGCATTATCCACTGTAATGCCAAACGTTTGATTTAGCTCCAAGGTGACAGAATAGTCGGTATGGTTCAAATCATCATTGGGCATCCATGTAAAAGGCAAAGAAGTATCAACACTCTGGTCCTGAACTGCTTCTTGGGAACCATTACTGTGCAGGTATTCATGCTTCTCTGTAGTTACAAGTGCAGAAGATTGGCATATGGGATGTGTACATGTTTCTAATGCCTGCTCATTAATAAAGTCACTTGAAGGCTTTTGGTGATTCAGTACTTCATCATGCTGATGATTTAAAGAAGTACTGTCATCATTGTCCACAGCGGAGTCCATTTCATAATCAGCCACCATGTCATCTAAATGGGCAGAACTCCAGTTCACGTGAGTGGTTGAACAGCTTTGTAGACAAGGTGATTTTTGGTTGTATGCATATGTATTTCCATTTTTATCACCAATAAGTAGAGAGGGGAATTCATCTTCTGTCTTCTCATCTGAATTCTCATCATTCATCCTGAATACTAATTTAAATGTATGCCATTTTATTTCTTCCTCTCAGATCAGAGAGAATGAAAAAATTGGTCCCTAATTTTCAGCACAGTTAAAGTTTTTAGTTTAAAATTCTTCGAAGTTGAAATGATTTGTTCCCTAGAAGAAATAAAATAAGAAGTTACTCTTATTTATTTACACTTTATTTACTTCACAGAACCTGTCTTAAATGACTAATTAGGATATCGTTAGTGACTCTACCATTCCCTTTTCAAAGATACTTTATTATGGAGTGCATAACAATGAAAGAAGAGAGTAGCTGTGACCAATTTACAACCAATCCACTTCCTCACTACTCCCAGAGACTCTTGTCAGAAAAGGAAGCTAAGTCTGACAATAGTTTTTCCTTGGTGTTGGTTGAAACCACTCTTTATAATTTCCCTAGACAGTCCTAACTTAGGTCCACTGCCCCAACATAATTTGAAATAAATGTCCTTTTCATTCTGAAAAGGGTCCTTACTGTGTACAAGGAAAGTGGTTACCAGACAGACCTTACAGACTCAGCCAACAAGCTACAAAGCAAGGAAATTTAAGAAACTAGTAGTATTTCCCTTTCCTTATTTTCATTCCTGTCTTAAGTATGTGCCATTTCCAAAGTGAAGGGAGGGAGGGCAAACTCAGAAGAGTTAAAGTGTTCTATTGAAAGTTCCTCAAAGATCAAATGAAGAGAGTTACTGTTTGTTATATACTGAACAATAGCCCCACAAATTCTCATGTTGAAGCACAACTCCCTCCCATATGAGATTATAGAGTCTTCAAGGAAATGATTAAAGCTACATCAGATCCTAAGGGTAGAGCATTTACCCAACACAACTGGTGCCATCATGAGAAGGGGCATCAGAACTCAAGTCCTTTAATCGTCCATGTTAAGAAACAAGGTAAGAAGACAATTCTCACAAGACAGTAAACCCTAACAGAAGCCAATGTTGGACTTTCCAGGCTCCCGAACTATGAGAACATTTCTGTTTTTTAAGCCTCCAAAGACTAGAGTAGCTTAAGATAGCACATGACTCAGCCACTCTACTCCACTTACTAAAGAGAAATGCAAACATGTGGTCCACATGAAAACTTGTGAACAAACGCATACATTTCTTACAAGAACCATTATTTACAACAGCCAAAAGCAGACAAATCTACATGTCCATCAACTAGTAAGATCGGAAAACAAAATGTAGATCCATATAACAGAATGTTCTTGGGCATAGAAATGAAGGCAACATTGATTCATGGGACAATACAAATATAATGTTACAAGTTGAAAATATTATACCATGTGAACAAAGTCACTTATAATGACTGCCTATAATGTGATAGTGTTTACATGAAATGTCCAGAACAGGCAAATCTAGAGACACAGAACTAAGTGGCTCTCTATGACTGAGAAGGTGAAGAGGAGAAAAGAATGGAGAGCAGCTACCTGGCATGAATGTGTTTGAAGGCTAATAAAAATGTTCTCAAATTACATTATGCTAATTGCTCCACAATGCTATAAATATAATGAAAACTATTGAATCGTGTACATAAAACTTCAAAAGTACTTTTAATAATACTGTTTAAAATGAAGTTTTTAATATTTTATTGTAAAAATATTATACAGAGGGGTTACAGTTACATGAGTAAGGTAATGAGCACATTTCCTATAGAGCATTGTTACCTCTTCCTTTGTTTTCCCCTACCATCCCTTCCCTCCCCACTTCTCCAACTCCTCCCCCCCACCCGAAGTTGTAAAGTTCGTTTTCAACATAGTGTCTTGTACATCTCATTGTTATAATAGGTCAACCTGTATCCTTATTCAGCATTTTGTTATTTCCCTTCCCTCCCCAAATTAGAAAAATGTATATACAAGATGCAGAGCACCAGAATCAAATACCGTGAAAACAGGGGTTATACCTTGGCGGAAGAACACACAAAAGAAACAAACAAAAAAAAAAAAACAAAACACATAGTACATTTTAAATACATTAAAAAGAATGGCAAGAAAGAACAAACCAGTCATGTCCCTATCTTGGGGCTCATTTCACTTAATATCATCTTCTATGGTCATATGCATGCATATAGCTTTTGACCTTTTCTGCTTGTCCTAGACTTGTACTAGTTATTGCAAATAAGGGAAACCATGGGACCTATGTTTCTCTGGGCCTGGCTTACGTCACTTAATATCATCTGTTCCAAGTCTTTCCATAACACAAAGTTTTTAAATGCCAAGAGTAAAAGCAAAATAAAATTTTACTTAAGTGCTTAAGAAAGGCTCAATGTTCACCAAGGTATAACAACAAGTCAGAACAGACACAAATTCACTTGAACTGGCATTTTCATCCTGGTATTCACTGTCCATCACATGTCAATGGTGCTGGGCTGAATAAAATATCCATGAGGGAGAAAAATGACACTTGTGACCTATAAACTTCTGAATTTTTCCATCTTGCAATCTTTTCTCTGTATTCAAATTTCAGTGACCTGAATAAAACCCAAAGAATAGAAACTGTGGAAGGAGAAAAAGGATCAGTATCTTCACTAACAGTGCTTTCTGTATTTCTGGCTGTGCATCCTGAAACCAGTTTTTAGTGGGATGAAGAAAGGCTGTAATGTTTACTTCAGTAGCAGCAAGATTTAATAATAACTATGTCAGAAGCCATAAAATTATATCATACATATTCAAGAGACATTCTGAATCCTGAAATACAGGCTCCATTTGTACTCTGATGGAAAGCATGAAAGAGACGATCATTTTCATATGACTCTAACTTAAAAGGAATCATTCAAGGAACTTTGTTGGGCAGGACTTCCATAAAAACTGTATGAGACATGAATGAGAATTTTTATCTTGTGGCGTAAGAAGCATTGAAGAAATACATTTATTCACTTTCAGACTTAGGTATGGGAAGAGGAAGCATTAATGTACTACACCTTTCTGCATTCTTATAGGCTAACACTCACTTACGAGAGAGTCCACTATAAGCAAATATGAGCAAAGAGCACTGCACAGATAAGCACTGTTCTGTGTAATCACAGCACTTAGTTGCCTTTATAAGTAGGGTAAGATATAATGATGGAATTTGTGTTACTTAAAAGTTGCCTCTTCACAGGTACACAAAAGATACTTTTAACTGATGGAAACTGAATAATTCATGTGATAGCATTTCAACATATTTGTGTGTGAGTGTGCCAGTACTGGGGCTTGAACTCAGGGCCTCACACTCTAATTTAGCTTTTTCAGTCAAGGTTAGTGCTCTACCACTTGAGCCACACCTCTAATTCAGCTTTTTGCCAGCTAATTGGATGATCTTTCAGATTTGACTGCCTAGAAACCTCAATCCTCAGATCTCAGATTCCTGAGCGGCTGGAATTGCAGGTGAGAGCCACCAGAGCCAGGTTGACTTTAAAATATACCCAGTAGGAAAAAGGATGCCACCAGTCCCATACCATTCAATATTTAAGTTTCTAGTTTTTCTAAGAATTACCTAAATTAGGTATCCTTGAAATATTTGACTTCAAATCATTTCATTTGGAAAAAAACGTCCTGAAAAAAAAGTAGGAACAATGGTGCCTGGTGGTAGCATGAAGGAATCACGTGAGGGAAGTGACTGTTGCGTGTTTTTCTTCCAATCACATGTAGCTGCAGAGGGAGAGGTACAGTTAAGTGGACAAACAGATTTTCTGAGTAAGGAAGAAACTTAGATCTAACCAAAATTTGTAAGCTAGGGAAAAAAAAAAAAAAAGCAAGAGGGCTCGCCCAAGGAAGTTTGCATGATGTATGAAAGATAATATCTGAGCACAGACATTTAAATCAGATAATAATGGAAGCTGAGACTTGAAATGGGTTATGGCAAATAGAATGGTTGAAGAATCAATGAATGGTAAATTCAGGGAAATCTAAAAAGGGAAGAAGCCTTCAAAGGAGAATGTTTTAGATGGACAGTGTGATGCTTAATAATGACATGGAGAAGGTAAAGTTACTGGTAATGGCAAGATCTAGAGCACTGCTTTTCAAGAGAACTTTACTGCAGGTAGATTGGAAAGCTTCCAGAATAGTGTGAAGTAACAATGAACCACAGCTAAAATTTTCCAAGAAAGACAAGCAAGTGCCTTCTGATTGGATGAGTACAGCAAAGAGCAGAAGTGAGTGATACAGGGAGATGACATGTTAGTCAAAACAGAAGGTTTTAGGCAGAAAAGGAGGGAAAGGCTTAGAACCATCAATGCAAAGAGAATGTCTATCTCTATCCAGTGTGATAATACATGCTTTAGAGAAATAGTTCATTGGAAAGACAAATTTTTGAATTGCTATTTGTCAAATAAAAGTTTATTGCATGTAAAAAAAAGTATTATTGGAAATTCACGCATTACCTGACTTATGAAATGGTAACCCCTCTGTACAACACCTTAACAATAACATTATATATATTTTTTAAATGAGTCAAGGATATTTTAGGGTTTTTCACATAGGTTTTAATATTGTTAGCTTTAAAAGGTCATAATTTTTAGGAATGTATACGCTAACATGAGTATACAATAGATATATCATTTGAGCTTTGCTTTTAAGGCTTATATACTTTGCTCGGCACTAACTCACAAGAATTTCTCTGTATCAAAATGAAGTATATACAACATTTCTAAAAATTGTAAAATTCCATTAAAGCCTAAATGTAAAGTGGTTTACAGAGGATCAGGAAAATGAACTGAACCATTCAACTTTCACCTGACCGTTTAGTACATTAAGGGTTGCAATTTTTTTAATTCACAGAAAGAAATTTCAAAACAATGAACAAAGCTATTTTTAAAAACACAAAAATGTATTCATAAGGAATACTGAAAGAGATTTTCGATGTGATATAAATTTACAGCTTCTCTACCTATGATGCAGAGATCTGAATGCCAAAAAGGTTCTGCAGTCGAATTTATGAGTTCAAGAATTTGCTGACCATCCTTTCCTCAGGAGTTTGTAAAAAGTTGGCTCTTTAGTCTTATGACCATTTCATTTCTTCCCTACACAATGCACTAAGTCTGCATTTGTGAACTTAATCTCACCTGATTCATTCACTAAAGTCTTTACATTCCTGTAGTTGCAATTTAATTCTCAACTAAAACAAAAAGTCTCACCAGGCACTCATGAATCACACCTGTAATCCTAGCTATTCAGGAGGCTAAGATCTGAGGATCATCATAGTTCAAAGCAAGCCAAGACAAGAAAGTCTGTGAGAATTTTATCTCCAATAAACTACTCAGAAAAGGCTCCACGTGGTGCTGTGGCTCAAGTGTAGAGCACTAGCCTTGAGCAGAAGAAGCTCAAAGCCCACGCCCTGAGTTCAAGCCCCAGCACCAGCAAAAAAAAAAGGAAAAATGTGAGAGAGGAAAAACGATGAAGAGGGAAAAAGGAAAAATGAGGGATAAGGAGAGAAGAAAAGATAAAGAAGGGAAAGGGTAAGAAAGGAGGAGGGGGGAAGAGAACAAGAATACAAATTTGGATTAAACCACTCACCCAAAAGTCATAATTTCTCAAGTCCTCTTTCAGTCACACTAAATACTAGACAAAGTAGAATGCTCAAGTCATATTTTTAAAGGAATCATCTGAGAAGAGAGATATTTTAAAATATTTTGAAGAAAATAAATCCCCCATTCATTTCATAAGTTTTAAGGATATAACAGGGCAACTTATCTTGAAAGATTGCCAAAACATGGATTCCTATGATTTCTAAGGGTAAGACTTGGTAAATATGTACTAGAAGACATGGTCAAAGAACCACTAGCACAAACTTTGATAATTTTGATGCCTCTGGAAAATAAGTAACAG